TCCCAATCTTAGGATGTCCCTGAGTGGGAGTGGGTGGTGAATTTAACCCCCTGTGCCTGTTTGCCATTGCAGTGCTCTCCAGGCTCATCCTGTCAATCTCTAGGGCCATTTGAAGATAATAATCTAATTTTCCTAAATAATATCCTGTTCTCAGTTTTGGCTGCTTTACCCCATGTGAGTACCTAAAGGGACAGGTTTGTCTTTTGGAGTGCTAGCAAGAAATCCCAGCTCTGTGGAAATGTAAGACCAGCTGTGTATTGACTTCAAGAAAGCAGAAACTCAGCTTCTGGAAGCTTTTAAAATTAAAAATCTCTCTTTTCTTCAATTGAAAAAATAATAATAGTAGGGTTTCTACCAAGATATGCCTCTAGCAGGTAGAATAAGGGTTTACATATGAATATATTTTACTGTGTAACTTTAATGCACTGAGGTTCAAAAGTGGATCCAAGCTGAATATATGAAAGGAATTTTTATCATGCCTGAGACCAATATAATTTGTCTCCTATTTCCAGATAAAAATAGTACTGATTGATTTATTAAACTTGATCCTTGCAGAGTTTGAAAACCAAACATTGTGGCAGTAGGAATCTAAAACTGAAAGCAGGTTTCATTGTCTACCCTGTAAGAAGCTGAAACTGAAAAATATGCAGAAGTAAACAAGGAAACAGCTTGGGACAATAACCACTGAAATCTAATATCTGGCTGTGGATAAACCAGGTCTGACATTGATGTACAGAACCAAGGAAAGTGTAAACACTCAGAAGGTAACAATAATAATAATAATAAATATTTGTAGCAATTTTGAGCTCCTATGGCAATGAACAGGGACAGCTTTTAGACATCAAACTGGATTTACATCAGTATAAGCAACATGAAATACATTTTGCAGTTCTCTTGTCTTCCCCTTGGATTTCTGCCTCTCTTGGGGGATATTTTATTCATCTCTTTAGGATAGATATTCTGTAGTGGAATGATAATGCAGCATTTTGGAATTATATTGTTGAATATTATCTTTTAAGTGTCTGACTTGCACATGAGTGGTGTGGAGGCTTCCTTTCCTTTTGGCTTGCTGACAAAATGATGCAGCATCTTTGCCCATCAGAGAGAAGAGATGGGCATTTGTGTGACAAATGTGACAAATCTGTCTGTGGTACATTGGGAAAAATTGTATTTCTAGAGATGCTGGAAGGAGTCTTGCATTGTGTATCTGGTGAAATGAGTGTTTTTGTCAGTCAAGAAACGTTCACAAATGTAAATGTGAGCAGACCTGCTGCAGAATTAGGCATGGATATGTTTTTGGGGTGTCTCAGGGTCTCCCTGTAGGGTACAGGGTGTGCATTATGTCTTTTAATTTTAAATTCATTAGTACTTCTAAAACAAGGATTAAAAATGCATCACACTAAAGGATATGTTGTCTCTTTTGACCTTAGCAGTAATGCTTTTATCTTTGCCTTGCAAAGAGGCTTTTCCCTGTGCACTTACCCATCAGCTCCTGAAAGGCCAAAAGAGGTAAAAGCTGAACTTGGAGGAGGTTTTTTATTGGTTTTGGATTTCTTTAGTTTTGAGGGTTTGGGTTGTTTTTTTTTTCCTAGATTACATAAATGGCTGATTTAGGAAGAAAATATTATGTTAAATAAACTGGTGTGTGATAATTTCTTTTTCCTGTGTGCTGCATTACCATCCCAACACACTGCCTCTCTCTTTTCCACGTTCTCAAACCCTGCTGGTGTGCACGAAGAGACTCACACTAAAAACACAAAAAAAACAAAAAGGAAGAGAGCTAATTACAGCTGCTTTTAATGCTGTGGAAGAAATGTTTTAAAAAATAGTCCAAAAGCCCCTTCCCTACTATTATTACTAATTTCCCAGAGAAGCAGTGGTTCTACATCTGTTCACTTCCACTCACTTTGGAGAGTGTGACTGCACTTCTTCAATACAAGGTTATACCAAGATAATTGTTTGTTTTTTTTTTTTTTCTCCCCTTCTTATTAAATAAGTTTGGCTGGGCTACATTTACTTGGATTAAACACAAGCAAAAAGAAAACTCACATTGGTTCAGGAAGTTTGTTTTGTGGTTCTTTGGAAAAGAACATTCTGTCTGCTCTTTGCAAAACCAACACAAACTGTCTCTTGGCACAGACACCATTCTTGGTGGATACCTCCCTTTAGATTATCTCTCTGTTATTTTGCAGGATTAAGAATCACAGTCCATATTTCCTGGGTAAATCCTGCCTTGTGTAATTGTGCTTTTATTTGTGAGTCACATCTGCAGTGGTAGTTACAATTAAATCTTCTAAACTCTGTTTGAGATCTGCTGATGAAAGATGCTGAATTATGGAAATAGTGATTATAAATTTTAGGGTAGTAAATATGGTTTATGCAATAGCACTTATTTAGAAGTGGTTATATCTCATTGTAGAAATGATCATGTCAATATGATAATGAAAAAGAGCTGTAGAGGCACAAAGTGAGACTGCAAGAGGCTTTTATTTTTTTTGTAATTGAGGAATTGTGTGTGAGTTTTGTGGTGAAATGTCCTTTTCTCTTTTGGCTTTTTAAAGGATATCATTAAGCTACTCTGTGCTATTAAGGGGATAATGCATTTCTTGTGCTGGTAGCAGACATTTCTCACATGTGAGAATCTGGCAGGAGCTGCAGGAATTGGGAATAACAGCAGGGAAGGAAATGTGCACTGTGCAACCTCCATCAAACAGGGAACAATCTCTGGTGCCCTCTTTTGATAATATATTCGGTGGAATCAGTTAGGGGAGGATCTTAATAAGTTATTGGACTGATTCCTCAAGTGCCTATAATTCTACTGGCTTGGGCTCTGGCTAGAAGGGAAAATAAAGATATCTTGTACCTTATAGGAGGCAGTCCTACATGTAGTAAATAATATTCCCAGAGAGTGCTAAAAGCAAATCAAATCTGTCCTGTAACAGCTTTGAATCGAGCTGAAGGTTTACACACACATTTGGATGTAAGTTTTGAGAGTTATTGTTTTTAGCATAAAAGGAAAACACAATGAAGAGCCCCAACCTCCTGAACTTTCTATTTCCATACATTTAAATCCAAAGACTAAAGTCTTTTGAATGTCATGTCTTATCTTTCCAGAAAAGCCTTTTCCTATAATTAAAAGGGCATCAATTTTTCTAATTGTTGCCAAATCCAATCCCAGCCTCCCACACAATCATTTCACCCTTCCCTCCCCCTCCCATCATTGTCTGATATTTTGTTTGCACAGTCCCAATTCATTAACTGTGTTCATGTCCAGGGCAGCAAACAGAGGAATCACATTAGCAAGGAGGAGCTCAGAAACTCACCAGTGAAATCTGTTTTTTTCCTTTCGTGTTTTACCCTGGCTTTCAGATGAGAATCCCAAAACCTGTAACAAATTTCAGAGATAAGGAGCCTGGAAACAATGAGTGTGCTACTGTTTGCTACTTCCTTTTCTTAGCAGAATTCTTTAGTCTTCTATTCTACTGAGAAGAATTACTTTCTATGTAAGAAGTTACTGAGATTATAAATTACTATTAGAAAAGAGAGGAGGTAGTATAGTCTGGTTTGCTTTTTTTTTTTTGTTTGTTTTTTCCCTTAGAGGATCACACACAATCATTAGGTAGAGCTGGAAGGAGATAATCTCATCCAACCCCTTTGCCAAGGCTGGGTCACCTGGAGCAGGGGGGTTGTGGAATCTGCAGGAAAGGGAGAATTCCACAGCCTCCCTGGGCAGCTCTGCCACCCTCAGTGTAATGTTCTGCCTTGTGTTAATTGTGTTTATTTAGTTTATGGCCACTGCTCCTTGTCCTGTCACTGGGCACCACTGAAGGGAGCCTGGCACTGTTCTCTTGGCACCCCTTTGAGATATTTCCATGTATTAATGAGATCTCCTCCCTGGAATAACCAGGCCCAGCCTCCTTATCTTTCTGGGACTTGATCCATGTTTTGGAGGGAATGGAATGGGCATGGAAGGATGGAGGTGCCCATGGCCACTGAGCTGGGAAAGGCTGGAAGGCAACCTGTGCTGCCTTAAGGTGTTGTGCTCATGTGCTGCCCTTTCTTCTGAGAGGCTTTCCTGGTCAGAAAAAAGCCCAAAAACAACATTAATTGTTTATCTCCCTTCAAATATTACATTTGTAATATTGTAAATGTATATAACAAACGTTACATTTTCAACAGAAATAGGTGATTAACAGATAAACCATCAGTAGAATCTGGTCATATCAGAAAGAAGATTGATAAGGTTTAGTACAAAAACCAGCTCAATATACTTCCTTTTTACATTACTGTGCAACCACTGGATCAATTCAGTTTGACTGAATTGATATTTTGATATATTGACAATATTGATATATTGTCACTGGTCCTATTATTGAGTTCACTTGGTACTGCTTCTTCCTAGTTCTGTTGCTATATCAAATTGATCTGTATGTTTTCATTTTAATTGGATTTATTGTAAATGGCATTGTAAGGGAGAGGAAATGGAGCCTCTCATAGAAGTCTCAGAATTGGGATAAAGCCAAAATCAAGGCCTAAAGAGAGTAATTAATAAGAAAATTCTGCTGTGAATTGGTCAGATTTGCTAAAATTTGAAGAACTGTTCAGTGCAGAATAGTGCAGCTATGAAGCTGGAAGGGACTTGTATTACAACTAAGTTAGAATAAAGTGATGGATATGAATAAAGAAATTAAATAGAAGAGGACTAACTCTTGGATGTCAGATTAAAAATTGAGGGATAACAAAATTTTTGAAGGGTTTTAGGGTGGAGGCTGTTCAGTTATCTGGACCATGAGGTTCCTGTTAGCTGCACAGAGGAGTTCTTTTTGGTATTTACTGGCATTTAGGAAATTCACACTGACAGTAGTGGGTGAACTCTAACCAGAGCTGTGTTTCTGCCTGTCATGCACTGAGGGAAATCACATTTTAAAGAGTTAGGGATTATCAAGCTGAACTCGTTGTATAATTGCAAAGCTTGAACTTGTTTCTTTTCTGGTTTCCAGTGATTTGTCCTGTTGGGCAGCTGCCTTCTGAGTTCCTCTGGAGAGATGCCAGCCAGCTGAACTGAGCAGGAGCAGGGACAGCATCAACCCAGGCTGAAGGTTTTTAAGCCCAGCCCTGTGACATTTGCACAAGTGATCACTGGTGAGTTGTACATAAGCACAGCTCGTCCCTCTTTTCTCTTTTCTGAGTTTCTGGATGCACAGACTGCCCTGCCTTGCTTGTTTTTCCCAGAGTGTGACTGATGGGCTTAGAGGAAATGAGAGTGACCCAGGTTAACAGCAAATCTTAGGAAATCCTTACTATTTGTGTGTATGTTTATGGATTATTTTCCCCTCTTCCCCCCACTGGATGAGTAATGTCCTGCTGAGGCCAAACTTCAATTCTGTAGCATTTGTGTGTTATATTAGATGATATCACTGTGCTTTTTTGTAACCAGAGGAGATTTTATACCCTCTTAGTGCTTCCTAGCCTGGAAATCCAAGCTGTGGGGTTCTGATAACAGGAGGAGTGACTGGCTGCTGTCAGCACAGGGCTGATTAAAAATGTGTGTGTGTGCTGCTTCACTCCCTGCCCAGCTGAATAGAAAATGAAACTACCCAAAGCCTTTTATGTAAGTGCATGGATTTGGTTTTTTTTTTTTTTCCTGTTTAAATCTCTGTGTGGCTGTGTGCAGTCAAACTTCATCCCCAGCTTCCTTTTGAAGATGCTGTGTAAAGAAAAGAGTGAGCTTGTTCTGACCTCTGAGGCATTATCCTGTTTCCAGTTCAATACCAGGCATAACCTCTCTACAAAATGCAAGAGCTAACAATTAATTTTTTTAGGGGATAGGTGGTTTCCAGTCAGTTTTTCCAATCTGTGTTTTTCCTTGATAAAACAATGGCAATCTGCTTCTTCCAGAAGCTGAAATGCTGTGATTCTTTGACAGCAAATGTGTGGAGAGCTGCCTTACACCTTGTAATACTCTGCCTTATTTAAGACTCTGTCATGCTGGGCTGACTGCTGTTTTCCTGGAAGTGTGGCACCAAGGAATTATTGATGAGATGCAGCCTGGTCTGTAAAACACACGTTTGCCATCAAAAACAACATATGTGTCCCTAGCTATGGCTAACCATTTAAAAACTCTCTGTGGAATATGGGGGAGATAACCCCTCTATACATGGAAAGAATCCCATTAAAGCATCAGCATGACACAGCATCAGGGGCTGAATTGTCCTGTGAATATCAGATTAAAGGCTTTGTGCTTTAGGCAGAACTACCTGAAGGTCTCTTCTGGAGCAGGTAGGAGGAGAATCCTGTCAGGATGGGTGCAGGAAGGGTAAAATTCATCCAGGGCACTTGTCTGGCTCTTTTAGGTCTCTGCCTTATTGTTTAAAAGGCTGGTTGGGACACACTGGACAAAAACCTGAAGGTCAGTGCTGTCCTGAGCTATACCAGCAGAGCTGGAAAATTATCCTGGGCTGAAAAATTATGAGGGTAATTCTGCTTTATGCTGGAGGAGGCAAAGGCAGAGCAAGGAATGCAAGCACATTATTTCAAGGTCCTGTAACCTATTAAGCCAAACTAAAATAAGTAGGCTTTAATTAATGGAAAGTTTAGGAAAACAAATGTGGTGCTATTATCACATAACCACTGCAAGCTGGAACATACCTGTCCTTAAGTTCCTTTCCTTTTTATTGCTGTTGCCCTTCCTGCTGCAGTTCAAGCATAACAGCTGCTGTCCTGGGAACCACTGAAGGGAGATGCAGCTCCTTTCTGCTGCTGGAGAACTCTGAACCCCAGCACTTAAATAATACAGCAACTTTAGTGCTAACAGCAGCAGCTTTGCAGGAGAAAGGCTTTCAAATTGTTGCAATTGATTTTCAGGATGTGTAGAAATAGAGAAAGCAAGGTAGTTATTGAAGCAGTGCTTTTTTTTATATAAAATCATTGTCACTTGGGTAGGTACACATTTTTTTTTTTCGTTCGTGAACGCTTTCAATTATTAAAATTTAGAGACCAGAGATATTTTTAGAAGCCAGATCATTCCAGTGGAAGCACATCTGTGTCTTGGTCAGGGAGGACACCAGTTTGGGACCAATGTCTGTGTTGTGTCTGAGCTCTGAGTCACCAATGCCAGCATGGGGAGAAGGCAGAACCTTTGCTCCCTTGTAACGTGGGTGGGAAACCAGCTCCGTGTGGAGAGAGAGGAGTTCCTTTTGAAACTGCAGAACACCAGGAAGAGGTGCTGAAAATCCAGTGCACGAATAAAGGCTGAGTCAAGGCAGTGCCTCCCTGTCCTGGCAGTGCTGATTGTGCTGTGACATAAATCCCTGTGTGCTCTGGGGACATCCAGTCTCGTGGGTTTGCCTATGGCTGCACTTAAGAAACGCCTGGGAACTCAGATGCAGGTTTTCAGTTCGTTGGTTTTTAGTTGGTTTTTTTTTTTTTACCCCCACCTATTTCTGAGAGCACTGTAGAGCACAGAACTTCAAGTGCAGGGTGTCTGGGGAGTGTCCTGCCCTGGGGCTCGAGTGCTGTTTTGCACTTTGCTTGCATTTCCACTCGATTACTCTTTCCTACCTGCAAGTGCAGTGTAGGCTTGGAAACTGGAGTTCGAGCTTTCATTTGGAAACTGAATTTTCTTCCTTCTTTTTGGCTTTTTAAATTATTATTTTTATTTCTAGTTCTTATTTATAGCATCAGAACAGTATTATCATAGAATCATAAAATATTTTACATTGGGAGGATCTTTGAAGACCATGTAGTACAGCTCCCCTGCAATGGTAAGGGACATGTTCAAGCAGAGCAAGTTTCTCAGAGCCCCATCCAACCTGACCATGAAAGTTTCCTGGGATGGGGCACCCACCACCCTTCTGGGTAACCTCTTTTACCACCTTCATTGTAAAAAAATTCCTTATATCCAGTCTAATTCAACCTTCTTTAACTCTCCAACCATTGTCTCTTGTCCTATTGCTGTGGGCCCTGATAAAAAGTCTGTCCTCATCTTTCCTTGAAGCACCAAATCACTGAAATGATTGGCTGATAGAAATATTGCAGAATCAGGTAAATCAGGTGGTTGGATGCTGGAACACACTGACAGAAATTGTGAACCATCAAAAGCCTGTAAAAGATTAATGGTTAGTTACCAATGATTGTTTTGAAACTCAAGAAAAATGATAGCTTGAGCCATTGGGATAAATCAAACCACCCTTTTTTAACATAAATTTTGCTTGGATCCAAAAGCACTGAAGCTGGATGGATATTTCTGATGATTTTACAACACTAACATTTAACTTGTATTTCTTGACAGGAGTAAATGAGAGATAATGAGATTTTGTTATCTGCTCCAATCACCTGTGGCTTTGATTAAAAAAGAAAATTCCTAGGAACCACTGGTTGTTTTTTGTTTTTTTTTTTAATCCTGTAATTCAAACCAAATATATCTTTTAAATCCTGAGAGCTGGCTGCTCAGGTGGGGGATGTGCTTTAGGCCAGGTAGAGAAATTTGGGCATTTTCAGTGTTGTCATTGCATGTGGTGTTGGCTGCTGGTGCCCACGTGTGCCCTGTGCTCTGCAGGACAAAGCCCAGTGTCACAAATGCTCACTGAGTGTTGACAGCTTGTCATTACAGAGTGTCCTGGCTGGTAGTTGAAAAGCTTTAGAAATGCTCACAATCTCTTTCCTCGAGTGACCCTGCAAGCATTGGGGTTTGTTCTTTCCAGATTTAGGTAATAAAAAGTCTCTCTGCTTTTCACCTGTGCTGAGTTCACAATTATTTTATTGTCTCGGCTGGAGTTTCGTGGCATATCCAAAATCATTAATCTCCCGTGGGGTGAGAGAGGACGTGAAGAAAAGAAGTGGGGAAGGGAGGGGAAGGACAGGATGGGAGCTAAACAGATTGGGGTTTGCTGGGGTTCAGGTGGGGTGTTTATTTTACAGCAGCCATTCTGGGGGAGCACGTGGAGTGACAGTGCTGTGACACGGAATATGGCACTCACTGGGTGGAAAGAAGGAATTGTTTACCTTCTCTCTCCTTTTACCCGGGGCTGTAGAAGAATTTTATTGTTTAATGCATCCATGTGGCCATTCTCTGCTGAGCTGCTGAAAGTGGAAATGTGAGCCCCAATGAGGTAAAAACAAACCCAAGCAATTCAATCCCTGCAGGCTGCGAGCCTTGAGCACCTTTGCTCTCTGTGTCACAGGGACAGGGCTGGGTGAAGCCAGCCTTGACTTGGCTCCCACCTTTGTTTGGAGGTTGCTGTGGTGATGAATAACCTTTGCAGAGGGTGTGTGAGCCCCTGTGAGCTCCTGCCTTGGCTCTGGCAGATAAAGCAAAGCCCAAGGCTCCCCATCCCCATATCAGAGCCTGTACCCTGGCAGTGGGCTGGGCTCCCAAAATAAGTCAAAACTGCTGTCTCAGAGCTGCTTACTGGCATGGTGGAGATCTTCTTATCACTTCCCCTCATTGCTTTCCTAGCAGGCAGCAGCAGCCTGGGTGGTGGCAAAGCTGTGGCTTTGTTCCATGGCTGGGAAGGGGAGCTGATGTTCTTTATTCGTGCAAGATTTGACACCTGAGCTTTGTCTCCTCACCTGGCCTTGAGGAAGGAGAGTAGGTAGGGCCAGAGACAGGCAAAGGAGCTCTGTAGAAGGAAACAGAGAAATATTATTATCCAGAAGGCCTGTCTTTTTTTTTTTTTCCCCTACCATTTTCTATATGGAGGAAATTTGTTTCTTTTCACTCCCCATTTATCAATAAGTGTTAACAACAAATTATTGTTAAATGCTCTGCAGCTCAGAATGGAAGTGTGTTTTTCTTACTGAGACACGAAAATGTGATCTAAACACCACTAAGTGTGTGAAATTTGGAATTCTACACAAGCATTAAATGCTTTTCTCATAAATTCACACAAGTACAAGTGTACTTGGATGATACAAGTGTCTGAAGGTGCTATAAATATCACTTTTAGATAAGAATTACCCTCTAAAATGTCTTGGAAAGTTGTTTTCCCCCTTTCCTAGAAAACCTTAGCAGGAATTGGCAAGAATGAATTGTTACCTAAGGCAACTGATGGAGAATTTTCCTCCCTGCATATCACCCTTCTTCCCAACATCTGTGCATAGATGTTCCCTGTGCACAGCTCATAGGAAGTGCTCTGTGAAAA